TCTAAAAGTCTAGAATATTAAATATAATCTCATTGTGTTATTCTGTAATAAACAAATAATAAAAAAGTACTGTAAGCTGAAAAATATTTTCCGTTCATGTGTAGAGATTCATTAAGAAATATCTTGATTTTATGCAAACCTTTCAGTAAACTGTCTAAAGAGATTTTAAAATATTGGCATATTGCCTTATCGGGTATAGTCTCACTTAATTCATAAAAGTAATAAACAATACGATCTCTATTGAATATAGATTTTAGACTTATACAGTTATTTAAACATGCAATGTTGCTTGTTATCGTAAACTAAATAAATTTGAATTTTATCTCTTTAATTCAGTGTAGAAAATTATAGAGAATTGTAACTAAGTAAATTATACGAGTTATATCAATTAGTTTGAGATTACAATTCCCTGTAATTTTCTACAACGAATTAGATCTATAATAGAAATAAGTACTGTACTATTATGAGAACTAGTGAATTAACTAAAGACGAATGTGTAACTAATTTAAGAATAGTTATTAGCATTTGTCTGTAAGCTTGAGTTTGAAGAAAACAATTAACTATTTCAAAATTATGACAAAGTGTTAAAATCTTGATTTTCAGAAATGGTAATTATCATATGCCGGACACAAGAATATCATCAAAATATGAGTGAGTCTATCATTTATTAAAAACGACTTTATTCTAGACTGCACAGATAGAAATATTTCTCATGGATTTTCATAAAATTTAACATTATTTTCAAAATTATGATAAACTATATACAGATTTGATAATAGCTATTGAATTTGATTAAATTCTTTTGGATCGACATTTACTTTTTATGAGCAGTTTGAAATCAACAATCAAACATTTTTATGTTTTTCGTAAGCAGTTCGACCTAGTCACGAAAATAATTTAGTATTGGTTACAAGGAGTTAACTCATTACCATTATTTAGATTTTTAACATAAACAGTTTATTGAAAATTTCATAATGAAATACCATTAGATGATTTATTAAATTAATCATTTTCGTCTTGCAGGGTCAGAGTCTTTTTTCCAATCCATCATGGATTCGACCAAGCCCATAATGAGGATAGCCAGATTAGAGAGTCCCGATATATTCGGAACAAATCATCCATGAAATGAAGTTCCAATCTGGACACGAACTCGGATCCCCAGAGCGACAATCTGGCAATCTGGCACTTTCACCTCTTCGGCCACCTTTCTGAAGTATTTGACACTCAAGATATTAATATAGTAAAGTAAATTTGAAATATATTATAATACGAATATGCATTTTCATTGACTCACTACATTCATTGTTATTGTAAAAATTTATCATTATGTAATCTATGTAATCATCATTCATGTTGTATTTATCTCGGCTATGCTATGCGGAACCGAGAATGTATGTACCACATATGTTTAATAAAGATTGATTGATTGATTGACTCACTACATGGAATGTTTGAGTGAAGACACTCTTCTTAAAGAAAAACAAAATTGTTTAGTTGAAAAGGGGAGTTTAGCATGTTACCATAAAATACATACATTATACATTATGAATTACATATTATTTTATTTAAAAATCAATTATGTAATAGTGTATAATTTTAAAACAATTTATTTGGCGAAATAACTGATAAGTTACAGAAAATTTTACTTCATAATATTTCTAGGAAATCCTTGCACTATTTTTAATGGGCAACAATAAAAATAGAAACTGTATATTAGCGTTTTAGAAATTTGGCATACAGCATTATAATTTATGTTTTTGAAATTACAGACTATATTTCTATTTATTAAAACAATTTTCTACTAAAAAATGTTATATTTTATATTTATACAATAAGTTAATGGCGATAATCTTATTTTCAAGAACATTAGAGGCATTATAAGTATTAGATTATATAGAAGTTAAAAGAAAATCTCAACATTAAAACAGGTAAGAAGTAAGATTGGTGAATTTTTCAGAAATATATCAAGTTTATTATGTTAATATACAAATTTTTGAAACTATAAAATTTAATAATTTATCATCTTTATAAAATAATTGTTAGAAATATTTATATATGTTATATTTAAAAATTTATGCATAAAAATTTTGCTACTTAGTTTCTATTTTACATTACTAATGACTGAATAAAGTAGACAGCGTGATAAACAACAAAAATATTAGTCATAATCAAAACTTTTGCTAATATTTATTCGCAAAACTGGCACGCATTGCTTTTAGAATAAATATTCATATCCTTTGATGATAATATCAATACAACATATAGCTATATACTTATATAGCTGTAACAAGAAGACTCGTAATATAGCTTAGATTATCAGAAAAGTGAATGCAGAACGAATATATATATATATAAGCTATCATATTCTGCAAATAGGATGTAAGTAGATATGCGAGAAACTGACTTGCTAAATCAGATTGACGATTCTGTTATCGGCAAAGTAATATAATCTATTGAAATTTATACAAAGATTATCAAAAAGGTTACGTGAACTGAAAGATGGTAAAAAATGCTTGACAGCTAGAAATTATTTCAATAAAATTAAAACAGAACTATAGTAAAAATTAATATTAATAGATCCACACTTATAATTTTATCTTTTCTTCTTAAATTTATTTTGAATTGGTTTCAAATTATTGAAATTTGAATTATTTATTTTTTNAGAACTGTCTAATTGCTGTAATATTCGACATACCAAAGTGCGTTAAAATCGAAATCACAGTATTCTGTAAAAAGCGTGCAGATATTCATTGCGTTTAGAATATTCAATATACCTGTTTTTTTTCTGTTTTGACTCTTTTTATCCTATGGACACTAATAGGCCCGTTTTTCTAGACCTATCATGAATTCGGTCAGGCCCGTAATGAAGCAACCGGATGAGACCCAACATATCCGCGATTTACTCACAACGAAACATTCTTGTGGTTGTTTGCTCGGATTCAGTCCTCCAGAATGATACTGACACCTTAACTGCCTCGGATATTGGCCGTCAAGAATGTACTGTACCTGTACCTATTACTTTATGATTTTCGAATATCAGGCATGCCTGCACGACGTTGTCAAAGACATTATGCACAGTTGACGGAGTTTGACAAATGGCGTATCTTTGGCTGCGAATAGTCGTTTCATCGAGTTTCTCGCCTGGGTTATTCTGTCCTAACTGCGAGGAAGTGTTTGGGTAGTGTATACACGAGGGCAGACAGGCCCGGAGTAAACGCTCTGGATAGCCCAAACAGACCACCAGAAGAGATGATTGTCTGATCGTCAGACAAGCACAAACAGCTGCAACGGCATCTTTGTTGACATCCAAAGATAGTAAAAGCTTCGCTACAGGACTCTGTCTCTTCCTACTTTGAACAGCGACTAACAGAGGCAAACTGTATGCACGGGGACGGCTCTTCGTCTTGACATTATCGGCTAATATCGTCGGCTTTGTTTGCAATGGTAGTGCCATGACAAAAGCATGGACTGTTATGGATTGACTGAATTTGTGGAATTTGTGGTTGAACACAATATGCTGACAGCATATCGTGTTCAGACACAAATTCCGATTTTATTTGGAAACAGACGACCGCCGGGTAAGTGTAGAAGACCATTGGTGAGTAACTTCAATTCTGTCTTTACTGTTCTGCTAGTCTGGGAAGCCATCTCGTATGACAGTCGATCCTTTTCTAGTAGTGGTGGAGGAACAATGACTGCACAGCAGTACGTTCAGTAAATTCTATAAATTGTGTGTTGCTTTTCATGGCTGGGCTGTATTTTCCAGCAAGATAACGCTCGACCGCATACAGCTGGGATTTCCCAGGAATGTAACCGTCACATTGTCACGCTTACTTGGTCTGCACGATCTTCAGATTTCTCACCCATTAAGGATTTATGGGATCAGATAAAAACCAGATTAGGCCATCTACGAGTGCGAGAAATCTGGAGATACAATTACAACGTCTGTGGGCAAATCTCTCTCAGAATGGCATGTGGTGCCTGTATGCGTCCATGCCCGACTGTACTCGCCTTAGGTATCGAGGCAAGAAGCAGTCATTACAAAATAGTAAAGGTTCCGTTAATCTATAAGAATTTGTCCATCTGCTATGATATTGTAATCACTTCTTACCATAGTCATTATGTTCATACTAATAAAGTTTCCTTCGATTTCAACATTTCCTTAGTGCATAGCATTTTCTCAATGATTGTATATTATAATTAAATTTTTTGTCTTTTACTTATATCATCATCATCATCATCATTTATTGTCTATTGAGAATTTCTTCCCTATTACAAGGGGGTTGCAGTTACATGTTTACTTGTTTTTACTTACAATACTTTTTGTTTTTAAATTTACACTTAATTTTCACGAATACATTTACATATTCTTTAATTTTGAAACACTTCATTTGTATTAATTTGTTTTGTTTTTATAAATATCTATTACTTTACAAAAATAGTTATAAATATTATATAAATCTTTTTTACTCATCTTGTTAAAGTTTTTTTAACAATTCTATTAGCGAGTTGCCTTTATAAATTCGATTTATGTCTTAGTGTTCACGAATTTCATTTAGTTTTGGACATTTTAATATCAATTGATAAGGTGTTAAGTCGTCGGAATTACATGAAAAACATTTTGTTAATAAGCTTATATAAGTGTTGTTAATATACAGCGAATATTTATTTAAGCGAAGTTGTATTATAAGTCGTTTTACATTCAAATTTACCGAATACAACATATATGGCTGAACTGATGGTATTTCAAATATATCCAAGTACCACGAATGATATTTACTACTATGAAGAGAGTACTGAACTTTGTTTATAGAATGTGCTATAGCTGATTCCAAAAGTAATGAGTAACCTGTTTTCCAATCTTGAATATTGTCTTGAAATAGTAGTACTGATATTCCAAAAGAGTTGAAGATAGTTTGCAATTTATTATACCATAGCTGTTTATTTTTTTGAAGTTNATTTTGCAAAACCTACATTTTGGCTCCCACTGAATTCTTGCTTGCTCACCCCTGTTATAATCTATTGGAAGATGTGTAAAATAAAAGTTTGGAGCTTTACATATTTTATTTAATGTTACCATCATAAGTATGTATGTTTATATATTTTTCTAATTAATTGCAGGAATCAAATAAAGATAATTCTCAAAATAAAGATCAACAACAAACAAATCAAGATTATCATATGCATTCAGTATCTAATTCACAGGTTTGATTTTTGAATATATATATTTGTACTGTAAAAAAAAAAGGTGCAAGCTTTGTATAATTTTTAAAATAAATATTATATTTAGAATACTAGAGAGATGGATATTTATTCAACATCCAGTCATCCACTGCCAACACCAATAAGTCGTCCTCGTTCATATAGTTCATCAACAAATCATTCAGGTGACTCTTTGCCTCAGTATCCTAAAGCACCTGGTTCTGAACGAGAAGATAAAGAGGTGATTTTTTTTGTGTAATAAATGTTAATTCTAAATTTGTTATTTTTCAAAAAATAATCTAATGACAAATAATTTTACAAATTAAATTATCCGAAGAATAGATACAGGAAAATCTATAACTAAAGACTTAAATGTATATAGCATTTCAAGTAATAAAAATTTAAATTAACCTACTTTGCAATTAATAATGATCATCTCAAATACAACAATATTTACTTTAACTGTGTGAATAGACGTTAATTCAAAGTTATATATTTATTATTTCATTATTTTGTTAAAATACATTCTATTTTTGACGAAAAAACAAAATTTTAAAACATAAGTTACTCGCTTTCTCATTTCTTTTTCTGTTTTAAATCGCTTTGTCGTTTCTGTAATAAAATCATGTCACTCTTTTTAGACATTATTTATGGTTCTAGAAATATGTATAATGTTACATTTATAAACATACACTAGCGTTTTATTTGTATATCAAATATAGTATACTGTAACTATATTTTGGGTCGTCAAATTGTCGACAGTGCTACTCAGTTTTTTATTACTACTCAGGTTACCTCGATTATTTTGTATTGACAGTTATTATTTACTAAAGTTTGTTCTTATTGTTATATGTTTGGTTGTTCATTTCTGAAAAGATACAGCATTTTGGTAATGTATTGTCTAACGTATGTAATTGTTTATCTTCTTTCAAGTTATTTTTATTTGTTTAAAGAAATTATTCACTAATTCTAATTAATTTAAAATATTCAATGTTAAATATGTTACTGTTATATTAAATAATTTTTATTTAATTAAAAAACATGTAAAATCAAATTACTGAAACAACAATAGAAGTATAAAAAGCGTATGGAATATTGTAAAGATTGTGTATTAACCAAGAAAATAAAAATGTTTACAAATTAAAATAACACTGAATAAATAAAAATGTTTTCTATTTTATCTCTTTTTCACAAATGTCAGAGTGCAAATTTTGGAAAAGCTTTAAATGATGCAGATTCATAAAATAACAAATAACTTATCAAATTCTTCAAGGAATCACTATATTTTTAATCCCTATCTTCTTAAATATTAAATTTATTAATCAAGTTAATGTTAATTCTTACAGACAACATGTGTAACTGATGAGTTTTCAATGAATATTTTACTCTTAAATATTTCAATAAAGTACTACATCTATGTTAATAAAATAAAAACAAACTCTAGATCTTTAAAATTAAGAGAATTCATTGTATTTTATCAAATAGATTTTTTATATTGTTTCTTTATTCCTCAAAATAAACTACAGACAAGCACTTATTAAATACTCTAATAACAATTGCAAAAATCATTTTTTTTCTCTGATTTAATATTGTTAAATTTAATATATTCATTGATTAAATTCTTTTAAAAATAAAAATACAGTATATGCATTATATTAGAAATTAAAAAATTAAAAATAATAAATGAACTGTCTTCCAGAACAATCAAGTAGCGATTATAAATTTGAACTAATAATAAAAAAAAAAACCTAATAGAATAATAAAAAAATGAAAATACGCTAATTTAATTTTGGTTATTTAAATAAAAATATTTATTTCATTATTTATTTATTTCTATTTAACTGTTAATATAATAAAACTTTTGTAAAAATTTAATTAATTTATTGAATAGTAATTTAATAAAAATTATAATGATAAATTTCGTCTGTATTAACTGATAAATTAACTTATAAGAATAAAAATGAGAGAAATCATGATTAAACTTAAGCTATATTTAAGGAAAATATCAGTTATCGATTTAAAATTAAATATTTTAAATAACTTATATAATTTGTCATTTTATATATGTTTATTTTTTAAATTTAAAAGAGTTTTTGATGATAAAGAATTTTTTTGTTATTAAAATATAACAATATAAATTAAATAGAAAATTGGTCTGTAAATAAGGACCTTCACAATAAAAATCATTTATAAAAATGAGAAAAAAATTTATTTCATTAAAAATAATGGTGCTCTAGATTCTAGTCATACAATGGTTGCAGCCGGATGACAGAGGCGGTTAAGCATTAGCGTACTGCTCTGAGAATCCGGAATAGAATTTTGACGAGTCAAAAACTCCGGGAATTTTTTAGTGCTGGTGCGTTTTGGATATGTCAAAGCCTTTTTGAACCCACGATGAACCTAAAAAACACCCTGTTATTGCCCAGAAGACGGAAAGAGTAAAAATAAATAAATCAAGCAGTTTAGAAAAACAATATGCTTGGAATTAATCCTTTATTTTATTTTTGCTGTTCACTTATTGATAATATAATAGAACTCATCATTTCCAGAATATATTTGTAATGCCTACTTTACAAGTTTGTGAACTGCAATGCATTTATATTTAATATTCTATGTTATCTATTTTGCAATTCAGGAATTCCCTATTCTTGAAATTCAACTTTATATTTAATTAGTAAAGATGAATTGAATGTAAGCTACAGAAAGTAGTAGATATAACTCAAAACTTCTGGGATTGAATTCTTAATATATAAATTATTAATCTAAACTCAGTTTAAATTAATTATTCTTAATCTCTTTAATCTTTTAATTTATTTTTAAGTATTGTAAGGAGTATAAGTTTACTTGTATTAATAATAAATAATAAAATGATAAAATCATTAAATTCTAAATGGTTTGGGAAAATTTAAGGTAAAAGTTTATAATTTTGTTTTAAGATTTAATAAATGTTTAAAATAAATTTAGAATTTATTAATCGCTTTGATTATTCATTACTTCGAATATGTAAGGTGAAACATTTTCTATAATTTAACAACTGTAATTTAAGTTATTCAAAAAATTATTTAAATTTCTTAATAAAAAGAATTCAACAAGTAATGCTAACCTTGTAAATGTATGATTACTGAATTAATAATTCACTAAATTTACCTTTTAAATTGGGGTTTAAAAACAGTTCAAAGTAAACGTATCAATAATTAAAGGCTACAATCAAAAACAATAATTAAAAAGACTTGTCAAAATTACTGATAAACTGAATAGTCATGAAGGAAAGTAATCATTTTTAATCGGATCATTCCACTCTTCTAGTGTAAATATTATCAGTAAATTAGAATTTAATCGAGATTTATTTATAAAATATAATGTCGAAACTGGATAAATTTGTACGGTATATTTTATTATGCTATTAATAGATGGATCAAAAGTCAGTTAACCGAGATATATATTTTTTATAATTTATTTTAAAATTGCTAACTTTTAAATAGGCCTAAGCATATCTGTGTTAACTGATTTTTGGGTTACATTTATGAATCTGAATTTTATTTTCAATTGTTATAACTTATTTATAAGCCTTTATTTTATTAAAATTTTAAAAATCAAATCAGTTAAAACAAAATTTTATACTTTTAAATCGAATATTATTTTCGGATCTACAGTTGTTTGTAAACTTTTATTATATTTAATAATCTCCTTTCTACTGCTAAAACTTTCAGTTCAAAATTTCCTCATCCGTCACGACTCAGATAAGCTTCAAAATTCTACATTTTATCTCTGTTAGATTATAAACTATTAATTATTCTGGATGTCCATCATCCATATTTAACTTAAAGTATTAACTTTATGTACTATTATTTGATAACTTGTATTACACTAAAAGTTGATACAACTCCCATTTATTGAAAAAACAAATGATATTTCTTTAATTTTCATGTTTTTTTAAATAAATAAAACATCAAAAGTATACAATTTTTTATTCTTCTATTTTCTACTTTGTTTCATTCATATTATTATTTTATTAATTTTAGTATTTTAAATTATTTATATCTTGCTTCATAACAAATTTTTTATTATTAGTTATACAGTCATGTCTATTTATATAGAACATATATATATATATATACTGTCACTATAGAAGACGATAAAAAAAGCTTTTCAAGAGAAATGAGAGAAAATAAAAATAATTACATAAAATCTAAAAGTCTAGAATATTAAATATAATCTCATTGTGTTATTCTGTAATAAACAAATAATAAAAAAGTACTGTAAGCTGAAAAATATTTTCCGTTCATGTGTAGAGATTCATTAAGAAATATCTTGATTTTATGCAAACCTTTCAGTAAACTGTCTAAAGAGATTTTAAAATAATTGGCATATTGCCTTATCGGGTATAGTCTCACTTAATTCATAAAAGTAATAAACAATACGATCTCTATTGAATATAGATTTTAGACTTATACAGTTATTTAAACATGCAATGTTGCTTGTTATCGTAAACTAAATAAATTTGAATTTTATCTCTTTAATTCAGTGTAGAAAATTATAGAGAATTGTAACTAAGTAAATTATACGAGTTATATCAATTAGTTTGAGATTACAATTCCCTGTAATTTTCTACAACGAATTAGATCTATAATAGAAATAAGTACTGTACTATTATGAGAACTAGTGAATTAACTAAAGACGAATGTGTAACTAATTTAAGAATAGTTATTAGCATTTGTCTGTAAGCTTGAGTTTGAAGAAAACAATTAACTATTTCAAAATTATGACAAAGTGTTAAAATCTTGATTTTCAGAAATGGTAATTATCATATGCCGGACACAAGAATATCATCAAAATATGAGTGAGTCTATCATTTATTAAAAACGACTTTATTCTAGACTGCACAGATAGAAATATTTCTCATGGATTTTCATAAAATTTAACATTATTTTCAAAATTATGATAAACTATATACAGATTTGATAATAGCTACTGAATTTGATTAAATTCTTTTGGATCGACATTTACTTTTTATGAGCAGTTTGAAATCAACAATCAAACATTTTTATGTTTTTCGTAAGCAGTTCGACCTAGTCACGAAAATAATTTAGTATTGGTTACAAGGAGTTAACTCATTACCATTATCTAGATTTTTAACATAAACAGTTTATTGAAAATTTCATAATGAAATACCATTAGATGATTTATTAAATTAATCATTTTCGTCTTGCAGGGTCAGAGTCTTTTTTC